TTCTTTATTCTATTCTACTGGTCTATGTGTCTGTTTTTATGCCAGTACCATGCTGTTTTGGTGATATAGCTCTGTAGCATAATTTGAAGTCAGGTATTGTGATTCTTCCAGTTTTGTTCGTTTTGCTCAAGATAGCTTTGGGTATTCTGGGTCTTTTGTGATTTTATATGAATTTTAGGATTTTTTTTCTGTTTCTGTGGAGAATGTCATTGGTATTTTGATAGGGATTGTATTGAATCTGTAGATTGCTTTGAGTAGAATGGACATTTTAACAATATTGATTCTTCCAATCAATGAACATGAAATACTTTTCCATTTTTTGGTGTCATCTTTAATTTCTGTCATCAGTGTTTTATAGTTTTCATTACAGAGGTCTTTCACTTCTTTGGTTAATTCCTGTGTATTTAATTTTATTTATGGCTATTGTAAATGGGATTACTTTTAAATTTATTTTTTAGATTGTTCACTGTTAACTGGCCTATAGAAACGCTACTGATTTTTGTATGTTGATTTTGTATCCTGCAACTATACTGAATTTCTTTATGAGTTCTAATCGTTTTTTGATGGAGTCTAGGTTTTTCCAAATATAAGATCATGTCATCTGCAAACAAGGATAATTTGACTTCTTTTCCAATTTGGATGCCCTTTGTTTCTTTCTCTTGTCTGAGTGCTGTAGCTGGGACTTCATAGTTGAGTTTCAGATGTTTTAATCATCCTAAGATTACCCATCCTGCTTGAATGCAGTTAACCCTGTGCCCACCCCCAACCCTAGGCAATCACAGATATGCTTTGTTTCTCCGTGGATTTGCCTGTTTTTGACATTTTACATAAATAAAATCAAACAATATTGGGTCTTTTGCATCTGGCTTCTTTCACTTTACATAATGTTTTCAGAATCTGTGTTGCAGCATATATCAATACCTCATCCATATTTATTGCTGAATATACCCCATTTTATCCATGTATCAATTGATGAGCATTTGGGTTCTTTCCACTCTTTAGCTATTTTGCATGATGATCCTGTATACATTCAGGTACAAGTTTTTATGTAGACATATTTCTTTTGGCTATGTACCTAGGGGTGGAATTGCTGTGTCATATGGTAACTCCCTGTTAACCATTTGAGGTATGGCCAGAGTATTTTCATAAGCCTGATTTCATGAGAAGTACAGGCTTAACTTGTTTTTCTCATTATTAGACTGAGGTTGTGGGTTTTCAGAAGGAATACCACAGAGATGAATTGCCCTTTTTATCACACCATATATGGGTTTACATGCTACCCATATGATATCAATGGTGATGTTAACCTTCATCACTTGGTTAAGGTACTGTTTGCCAAATTTCTCCAGTGTGTGGTAACTATTTCACATTCCTATACTCTTTTCTGTAGAAGTAAGTCACTAAGTCAGCCCTGTTCTTAGGAGGTAGACAACAGAATTAAACTTCACCTCATGAACTGTGGGGTAGCCATATATATATTATTTAGAATTATTTGATTGAGACAATTTGTCTTCTCTGATCCATTTCTTTTTCAATTGAAACACTTATTTATATCAGTATGGAATCATGTACACTTATCATATAGTTGGGATAGTTTACCAAATGGAAACATTCCAAAAGGAATTCCAGCATTATGATTTGTGTAGTGCAGTAGAATTCTGACCTAATCAGGAGATTGCAGGAGTTCCCTCTCTCTACTATTATATTTCACCACCATTATATTACCTAATTATGGCATATTAAACAATCAGACAATGCTTTTAGGCAATATATTTAACCATGACAAATTTTGAAACAACATTTTAATTTCAGGTGATTACATTGTATACTTAGTAATTCCTTCAGAAAGAAATAAAACAATAAACAGAATTTATTTAAGTGATCATAAAAATATTGCTAACATGCAGCAAATCTATTTGCAACATTCCTTTTATTGAAGCAATATTATGGGATATGTTGGGGAAATGTTGTACTTCAATTGATAGCACAGTTCCTGTAGCACAGCCTTCACATTATCTGACTGACTCTATGGAAGCTATTTTACAATGCTAGCTTTTAGGTAAATACAGCATTGCCATAAAATCTTTGTCTATACAAAAGCAACTGAATTTTGTCATTGCAGGTGAAGCTTTGTCTCCAGATAGATGTTCATTTCAACAGTCTTGATCTATAAATGGGACAAAGGCGTGGCTGTTGGTTTTGATGGGGTTCATTTCAGTGGAGGGGTGCGGTAACAAAGCACCATTAGATGAGGAATGAGGACTGAGGTGGAGGGAGGTATAAAGGGATGAGTTGAGTATTGAGAATTCTTCATAGAACTTTGGTTGCAATGGGAGAATATATGTAAAGAGAACAGTAACTAGGGTTGTAGAGAGGGGTCCAGGGTTTTTAAATTATGTTTTGAAATTATCAATGATAAGAGGCTCTCTCAGGATGGAAATATTAATGAGAAGGAGCCATCTCTTCTTAGGTCTAGAAACTGAGTTCACCACAACCCTCTTACTTCCTTGTTTCTATTCTGGGGAAGTCTAAAGCTTAACCAGAAGGATGGTGTCATTTGACCTTAATGCCTGTTAACTATGGGGATGGATGGATGGATGGATGGACAGACGGATGAATGGATGGACAGATGAATGGATAGATGCACGATGTGTCAAACAGGTACTGGTATTTTATCTTCTAGCACCAAGCTCCTCACACAGGTGACTGAACCCATGGTTTTGGTGTCTGAGAAGATGCAGCTTCTCCAGTCTCTGTAACTGATGTCAGGAAGATGGGAGCACTCAGCTTCAGTGTTCAGAAGCAGATTTAGGCCGACTGCCATACCTTACATCCTAGAGGGATCCACCCTGACTTGAGCAGGTGAGATCACAGAAAGGCTTGCTTTCCATCACAGGGACAGTATTACAGCCTGCTCAGAAGCATGTTGTGGTCCAGCTCTTGTGTCATTTAAAAAGACTCCAGCTCTTCTCTAATACTGAATTCAACTAATATCACAGAGAGATGTTCTTAATCTTCTAGACAAACACACTGCCATCAGTATCCCCCAGAGGCCACAAACACACCCTGGAACCATAATGCCACCAGTAGCTCTAGGAGAACTTGCAGGCTAATGTGCCTGTTGCTCATTGTTTTTAGGCTACATATGAAAATGGACCAGTTTGCAATAAAAATATAATGCAATGATGATTATCAGAGCATTTTGTATACTAGGGAATTTTTTAAGTTATCTGAACACCAAATTAAATATAATGACAATGAAAGAATTTCCACCTGTCATATCATCAAAGTATAAAAAGAAACCATTCAGGATTCTAGTAAGGTAGGCATGCAGGGAAGTCTACCCTGTTTCATATTGGTGCTGGGGATGTCACTTAGTACAACCTCTTTCCAGGTTGATTTGGTAATTTCTATTAAAGACTGTATGTATCCCCCATCTGCATGTGTTTAGGGCCTGCTCCTTCAAGTATTCACCCTCAGCATGACCCCTGTCCCTCTGAGAGTGCATATTCTTCCTGACACAGGAACTGTCTGCAGACTCCAGTTTCTAAAGTACTGGCCCAGACACACTCCCTTGTCTACAGAGTAGGAAATTTAGGTCTGACAAGGTTCTCTATCTTTCAGAAGAGAGACAGAACTGGCAGACTGGCTTCAGAGCTGAAGATACAGATTTCATTAGTGACCCGGGTCAGCAGGAAAGCAAGATTTACTTGATTATGGTGTGATGTGCAGCTCAACATCACAGTCTGCCTGGGGGTGTATAGGGTGCAGGTCTCTGCTTTTCCACTTAGTGGCAGGATGCTCCCCAGCCAGGCTGCTTAACCTGCAAACATCACTGTTTCTTCACTACAGGATGGTGTAGAGATTATATCCTCTACCTCCCAGGAATGTTGTGGGAAATTCATGAGACAGAAAAGTGCCAATGTTCAGGAAGGGTGAGTCCCCAAGGCTTCCTGAGGCCACAGATACTGCTCTTCTGCGGTACTTTATGTTATAATCACCCTATGACAATGCACAAATAAATAGTCATTCAGTTACAAGAGTGCAAGGACTTATATTTACTCAGTTCATCCAATATAGATTATTATAATATTCACAATGTAAATTGGAAAGTAACTACGTGGAAATCAGTTCTTCTTCCTTCCCATCTAAGGTCTCAGAAGTGCTTTCCCAGATGTGATCTCATTAACCTCTATATTGATCTGAGATTTGTTAACCAAAACTGGCCAGTACAGGGGAAATGACTCACCTAAAGTCTTATAATGGGCCTGCCCCGCCATGTTCTATTGCAATGTTTTTCTGCAAAGCCTCATCTTGCAGGGTTACATTATGTATATTTTTCTTTTTCTTTTCATTTTACCAAAAGAGAAAAATATATACCTTTTTATTGTTAAGAAACGTTTTCTCAAATAAGTACTTATTTCATTCCTTACTGAAATTATTTTTTCTTACTGATCCATTGAAACCATGTTGGCTATGTTCAACATAACTAGAGATATCTTTGGCGTTTTCCTCCCTTAGCTTCATATCTTGTAGAACATCTTGTACAAAAAAAGTAGATTTATAGAAAAACATACATATAAATCACGAATTAATCCTCAAATGTAGTAAAATAACATAGCAAAAACTTTATCAAATCCATTTCATGCACAAACTGGACAGATCTGTTATATACAATCTCTATATGCATCTGCAGTGTTTTATAAATTGGTGCTTTGACTTTAAATGGAGGTTTACAAAAAGGCCCCTCTTGTAATATCAATGACTAAATTATCTCACTATCATTGATTCTCAAATTTACTTGAATTTATACTCATCACTGCCATATCACCATTCTTACAAAGGCAGTAATTTTAAGGAAAAAGTTGCAGTGTGATTATGATATAAGTAACATTCAAAATTTCATGTTACCAAGAGTTGAGCAGAGTACTAATTTCCCGTTTATAAACACACGTCTAAAACGAGAGCTTCATGCACATCCACATAGAAATTCAAAGTCAAACTGCGTAATGTGTTTTTATTGACAGAAGGCATCACACCATTCCCAAGCAGCATGATTCCCTTGAGAAACTGAAAACTAATTTCTTGAATCTAGAATGCGACTTCCGACTTCCGTCTTCCAGGTGTAACCAGAGTTCTTCCTGGAGTGATTCCAGCTTGTTTCGTTCTGGTGCCTTCCTTAAGAAATTTTGCAGTTGTTTCTGGTGCAGTTTTTGGGTGGGCTCTGGGGTGGGCAGACGATCTCCACTTTGCAGAGGCTGCTCCTTTTGTGGGTGGAGCTGGTGGTGAGGGAGTAGGAGAGGCCTCGCATCATCCTGGCATTCAGGCCCTTAGCCATGGAGAAGGACTTGAGGTGGCTTCTTAAGGCATTGGGGAGCGGGAGCTTGTCCACCAGGTATACGGGTGTGCAGGACACGATGGTGCTGGAGCAGAGGTCTTGCAAGCTCAGTACCTTGCTCGGCCTCCCGAGCCAGTTCAACCTGTGCCGCAGCAGCACGATCCTGGCCAGCTCCGTGAAAGACTCTATGATGTTGAAATTACATAGAGGGCTGACCTCAAAGAAGGTCACGCCCAGGCGCTCAGCATAGGCCTGGGCCTGCTCCCTGGGCACCTGCCTCTTGAATGCCAGATGTAGGCGATTCCCCACCAGGATTTTAGGAACACCAGGGGCATGCTCATCGATCTTCTTAATCCATCGATCCATACCCTCGAAAGACCAGCGGTTTGCAATGTCGTAGACCAGGATCACTCCTTGTGCACCACGAGAGTAGGAGCGGAATATGGTACAAAATCTTCCCTGCCCCGACGTATCCCAGAGCTTCAGCTTCACCCGCTGACCGTCCAGCAGGATGGTGGTCGTCTTGTAGTCGATCCCCCTCAGGTGACTGTATGGGGACTCGGCCGCGCCATCCTGCAGGCTCTCCAGGATCTCACTCTTGCCTACGTCGCTGTCGCCCACCAGCAGGAACTTGAGCAGGAAGTCATAGGCCTGGTCGGGGCTGTCCAGGGTGCTCATGTTGCTGGCCCCGCACTCCCGCCTGAGCCAGGCCCACAGGGTTGTGCGCAGAGGTAATGCCGGGCCTGTTTTTCTTGAGAAATTAACATAGAACATAAAAAATGAGATGGGGAAGTCTATGAAATAAAGCGAAATGAGGTGGTGGCTTTGATGGACTTCTTTTACAAACCCAGGAAACTGGTTCAGTGATTGTTTTCCTTTTCCTTACCCAGCACAGAGTAGTGACACAGCAGTTAATTAATCATGGAAACCTATACATTTCCCTTAAAATTTTCATATGATCATTATGGAACCATGCCTTTTGGATTATGTCAAAGGAATCTCCTTTAACGGAAGGATGGGTATGGGATAGGAAAGGGACTAAGATGTGTTGAGTACCGTATGTACCCTACACTGTGTATGACACTTAAAATATTTTGTTCTTTTGCTTTCAGAACAGCTGTCTTTGTTAGCTATGATTGTTTCCATTTTACAAATCAGAAAAGGCAAACTCGGCCGGGCGCGGTGGCTCAAGCCTGTAATCCCAGCACTTTGGGAAGCCGAGATGGGC